GGTTTGAAAAAATTGGTATCGTTGCATCCCTAGAGCCAACCTTAAGTAGTAGAACTGTAGATTTAAATTTTTCATTTTCACTTCCAGGTTGGTGTTTTTATGAACACACTGAATGTACTGTGTTATGTTTGTTAGCTTAGCTGAATAGCACTAAAGGTTTCTATTTGTGTTCAGAGCATCTCATCAATACAACATGTAATCGACAGAATACAAGTCCACAGTTGTAAGGGTCGATATAAAGTTGCTATTTATTTCATAGAATATAAAGTACAGTTTTGTAAAATACAAACAAACATGATTATACTTACTATAGATCCAATATAGTACTGGGCTAGTTTACTATTTCTAGATAATGGACACCAAACGCTGTCTGACGTAAACACATGCAAGCAGATGTCTGTGCTGAGTGGATGATGTGACCAGGTTTCCCAAAGAAGTCTCCCTCTTTTTTCTTTTCAACATACATGTTTCAGTGAGCCCTTGAGCCAGTAATATTTGATGCTGCTGATGTTGTATTTATATAAGTAAACATTCTTCTTTTTTTGGGAAGCCCTATGCACAAATTGTAACCTACTGATACACGTTTGTAGTAGAAATATTACTGACCTGTGCGGCTAATAGGTGATCTAATACATGTGTTAGGTGATCCAAATATATTAGTCTATATATGTTAGTCTTTACATACATGTATCTACTTAAGTTCCTAACGACTACAAGGATCCGAAGCCCGTTCAGGTACAATGACAGCATTTGGGCGGATTCCATGAGGAAACGGGAGATTTTGCCTCGGCATTTTTTAAATACAGTCGCTGTAATCGTGTTTTTCCCTCAGTAGCTCTTCCTGTGAGGACTGCCTGTACTGGACAGTTTCAGGCACATCCAGTTGTTTTAGTTGTTCCCTTTCCCGAGACTAATCATGTCCAGAACAGTACTCGAGTCCATTTACAAAAGTGATTTGATCCAATTATCATGGTTTGAATTTTAGTGGAGACGATAAACTGTTCAGCCAGGCTCTGATGTTGAAAACAGAATTATCGTCACAAAGCCAATAGTGAAGATAACCTTTAACTTCTTAACAGGGAGAGAAAACATATTCATGTGTGGATGTTGTTTTGCTGGACTGGACACAGGAATTCGAGTTTCAAACCACCATGACTCATATTTAATGCAGCTTTAGCAGTAAAATGTCCTTTTATTGTACAAAGTCCGACTTCAATCACAATCGCTGCGTTATAAAACCTTAAAAATGGGATATTCTGTGTTTGTTGTGGTGTATATTCTGTGGTTTGACTCCATTTAACTAAAGTTCAACTTATATCGTCCCTCCATCTTATTGCGTCCCTCCTCCCTCCAAGTGCTTGGCTTTGCTCTTGTTCTCTTCTGCATCCGGATCCCGGCAAGTGCATTCATCCTGATTGCAGTCAGCTCCAAATTGAATGACCTGTCAGTAAATAAACACAGCATTCAGTGCGTGGCTTCCCAAAACTGCTATATATCTTTCAGTCTGTGGCTGAAACACACGACATGTGACTTCTCAGTTTGTGTTGTGCGCATTCCAGTTCTTAAAAGATGACTAAATCAAGAAAGCAAACATCCGGTGAGTTTGGTTTTCTCATCAAAGCCCGGTCGTTGCTTCGCTTTAATTCAATCTAAACCCATTGTAAGTGAAACAAAAAGCAGTGGGATAGGAAGAAACATTACATCAGAGTTATTGAGAAGGCCTCTCGATAGGGTTGTTACATTTCAACTGTAGCAAAAAGCACAACTGTGAATGGCAAAAACAGACAATAAAGTATAAATTTGCTTGAACCGACCGAGCAGCATTGTGTTTGTGCTGAAAGCTAAGCACCCCTTAGTACTCGCTGCATTTCTTCACAGTTTCAAAGAGCGCTCCAACAGCCCCCCTGAGGCCGATAAAGCGCATGTCAAATGGTTCAACGTGGCCTTTGAACGGCAAGAAAAACCTTGAGGGTCTTTGGGGTGGGGGGGGGATGGGAAAGGAGGGCAGAACGCACCGCCATGGAGGTGAACGGATGAACACATGTTAAGAATCAACAACGAGAGGCTGCCAGCTCTTGTCTAGGAAGCGAGCCATCACCACAGGTTGCAAAATAAACTCTGGTGCCCCGTGAAGCAGTCTGTTGCAAGAAATGTAAACATTCGCTCTGAGAGAGGAGTGAGAGGAAGACTTAGCGAAAGAAGGCAGGGGAGAGAAAAGCGTAGAAGACCGAGGGAGAAAATGAGCAAAGGTAACAAGGAGAGTTGTAGGTAGCAGTTTGTCAGCCTTCACTGCTGACTGCACCTATTTCTGGACCCTGACGGCAGGGTGATGCTTTCGCCGAGGGCTCTCAAAGCGCTGCACAAGAGCAAGCTTCGCTTCAAATGCCAGCGCTCGCATTTAAGCCAGGCTGGCACGGCCATTAAATGTTTCCCTAACAGCTTCGTCTTGACAGAAAGAAAGCCTAACAAGCTCTGGATGGAGCTTTACTTCATCCACACAAACAAAAGCCAAGTCTGTGTTTGAGAGATGCCTCCTGCTGTTTGCCGAAACCTATTCGCGAACAAAACCCGCGAAAACGTTTCGTGTAGCAGCCCCACAGCCCCTCTTACTGGTTTGGCCACTTGTTGGACAAAAACAGACACTCCTGTTAAATTAACGGAAGCGTGAGTGTTTCGACAGATGATCGTAACTTTCAGAGCTTTTCCCTTTTGGCCAATCGTTCAGTCTTACCTGATTCATCTCTCAAGTATTCCAGCTCCTTGAAAAGGAGTCAGCTGGCCCCACTAGGGCTGTGCGATATGACCAAAATCTCATATCCCGATAT